GACAGTGAGGCCGCCTCCGTGCCCTTGTCCCTGTCATCTTTTGTCCCCACTGCAGGAAGGATGCTGCAGCAGGAGATGAAAATCTCCTGGGTGAAGTTGGGCATTTTCTGCCCTGAGCTAAGTCACAAAAACAGATGTAATTCTGTTTCCAGACTGCTCAGCCTTAATGAAAGTATTGCTTTCTCATCCCAAAACATTTGTGGGTTCAGGACTGGGCTGTCAGCCATGACAAACCTCCACGTCCTGTCCCTTCACCACTGGGGCTTTTGCTTTCAGCTCGATCCGAGAGGTACCGGCACTTGGATTCGGAAGACGAAGAGACCAACGATGAGGAATCATCTGTGGAGATTGGCCAGTTCTCCTCCTGCTCCCACCGCTTCAGCAAGGTGCTTGGATCTGTCCCCTAAGACCCCAGTGGGGTGGTGACAAGATGCCACAGCCCCCCTGCTGCTGCTCCATTTCAAGCACTCCCCTGTTCCCCAGGTGTACAGCAGCTCCGAGTACCTGGCCACGCACTCCAACCTCAGCCTCTCATCCTCCGACCGGAGCCACAGCGAGGACAAGGAGGACAGGGCAGAGCGGTGGGACCGCCACTCGGGTGACGAGGACAAGAACCGGCCATCGGGCGCAGAGCCCCGGTGAGTGGTGAGACAGGGACTAACGTGAGCTGCTGTTGGTGAGATGCGTGCAGGGCTGCAGGAGGATCCAGCACCACCGCCTTGCCCATGCGTGGGTGCCCTGAGCCCTCTGGCTCCTTCCTGCAGGCTGCGGTCCTGGACATCCTGCAGCTCCACACCGTACACTGCCCAGCACGAGCGCAGCCGCAGCCCTGCTGCCCTGACCAGCACCTACAGCCTGGACACCATGCCCAAGTTTGCCTTCTCCTCAGAAGATGAAAGCCCTTGTGTGGCCTCAGCCAAGCCGGAGCGACCCAAATTTGTGCTGGGAGACCCTGACTCTGGAGTGAAGACCTCATCGCTATCTGGTGCGCAGGTTTTGGGGGCAGCCAGGTTTCCTAACAGCGTGAGGTGTTTTCTCCATGCCTTCCTGCACCCTAGAGAAGGTCCAAAGGGCCACCGCCGTCCTTGGCCATTTCAGCTCCCTGTTCCTCCTCCCTTTGTGCAGCTGATCTCGTCAGTCTGAACCGCATCCGCCTGCGGAGCAACAGCACGGGCACCAAGAACTCAGCTCCACGAGGCTTGGAGCCAGGCAGCAGCCGCCGGCTGAGCAGCCAGAGGGATGGCGTGGAGAAGCCAAGAGCTTCACCGGGCAGCCGAGTGCCCAAATCCGCTTCTGTCTCAGCCTTGTCCCTCATCATCACATCAGGTTTGTGGTAGCCATCTATGGTCAGGGTGGCTGCCGTGTGGCTTCCCTGGAACAAGCCATCTCGTTCTTTCTCCTTGCAGATGACTTCAGCAGCGGCGCCCTCATGAGCCCCATCTCTCCTCACTCGCTTTCATCCAACCCCTCTTCCCGCGACTCGTCCCCGAGCCGGGATTCCTCCCTGGCCATCACCAGCCTGAGGCCCCCCATCATCATCCACAGCTCAGGAAAGAAGTACGGCTTCACGCTGCGTGCCATCCGCGTGTACATGGGGGACAGTGACGTCTACACTGTGCACCACATGGTCTGGGTAAGTGGCCCAGGGTCTGGTGACATTGTTGGGACACAAGGGTGGGAGGTATGGGCTGTGTCCAAACAAAACCCCGGCCGTTCCCTTCCAGAGCGTGGAAGAAGGGAGTCCTGCACAGGAAGCAGGGCTGAGAGCGGGTGATCTCATCACACACGTGAATGGGGAGTCAGTGCTGGGCCTGGTGCACCGGGACGTCGTGGAGCTGCTGCTGAAGGTAGGTGCTTGCCCTGCTGCGATGCGCTTGGGACCTGCATGCAGCTGTTGAAACTGGTGCATCAAGCACAAGCGGCAGGTTGTTCAGTGGTGCTTGAGTGCAGCATGCCCACCGAGCCCTTTTCTGTCCTCAGAGCGGCAATAAGGTCGCCCTGCGGACCACCGCCCTGGAGAACACCTCCATTAAAATTGGCCCTGCCCGGAAAAACAGCTCCAAGACAAGGATGGCCCGAAGGAGCAAGAAGAGCAGGAAAAGGGACAGCCAGGACAGGTGGGCAGAAACAGGGGGATAAAATGGCACGTGTGTCCTGGATGTCCTGGAGCAGGAATGCAACAGGAAGGGGCGGCTGCTCTTGTTCTGCAGTACCACAGGGTCTGGTGGCATCCAACGTGGGACTGCTGGCATCGGTGGCTCCAAGCAGTGTGCCTGCCTGTTGCTGCTGTTTGTGACCAATCTTCCCACGTTTTTCTTCCCTTCCAAGGAGGAAATCCCTTTTCAAGAAGATCTCCAAGCAGTCAACGGTCCTGCACACCAGCCGCAGCTTCTCCTCCGGCCTCCACCACTCGCTGTCATCGAGTGAGAGTCTCCCAGAGTCCCCTACGCACAGCCTGTCACCAGGTCCCACGACGCCCTGCCGCAGCCCCGCTCCAGACCTGCCCCCAGGTACTGTGGCCACCACACTTGGGCTCGGGGCCGGTGACATCCCCAGTAGTGACTCCTCTCCCTCTCATTTTTGTGGCAGATGCGGCGTCCCCACAGAGCACCTCTCCCTCCTCCAGCACCCCCACGTCTCCAGCTGGCCACGTGCGGCCCAGCACCCTGCACGGGCTGGCCCCCAAGCTGGGCGGTCAGCGCTACAAGGTGGGACGCCGCAAGTCCACCAGCAGCATCCCGCCCTCACCCCTGGCCTGCACACCTACCTGTGCCCCGCGACCCACGTCCCCGCAGAGATCCCCATCCCCGCTGCTGCCCGGACACCCCAAAACCACCCATCCCTTCCAAGGCAAGACGCTGTCCCCCCCCACCATTGTGCGGCAGGGGCCGCGGCCACGCAGCGCCGAGTGCCCCCGCTCACCCCTCCTCAAGCGCGTGCAGTCAGCAGAGAAGATGGCAACCTACCTGGCGGAGAAGAAGAGCGTGGGCAGCCGCAAGCTGGGACCGGAGATGCCTGCACGGGATGGGACTGGGGAGGTGTTTGGGGAGGGCGAAGCGCCCGGCTCGGTGCACTGCGGGGAGCACGGCCATATGGCAGCCTGGAGGCAGGGAGAGCAGGAGATGGTGGTGATGCGGCGCCTGAACCTCTCTGAGCGCCGCGACTCCTTCAAGAAGCAGGAGGCTGTACAAGAAGTCAGCTTTGATGAGCCGGGCAGTGAGGACGGTGCCAAGGGCGACACAGGGCAGGGCCAGGGCTGCGTGGAGCCCAGGGTCGGCCGGGTGCCGCAGATCGCGGTGCAGGGCTCAGAGGGCGACGAGCAGGAGCCGGTGGGCTGGCAGTGCCAGGGCTCCTACCCGCTGCACCTGCTGGGCACCGATGGCACTGCTGGCATCGCTGTGCCGTGGCGGGACGGCCGCCGGCAGCACCGGACCTGTGGGGACAGGGCCCCCCCGGGGCTGTCAGCACGGGACATCCCCTAAAAGCCAGCCTGGGCACACGTGGCTCCGTGGGATTTAACGCACTGCGACCTGGAGGGGTGACTTCTGTGCTCCCGGAGAGATGCTCACGTTTTTGCAGTGGTGTTCCCCTGGTGAGGCCCACGCTGAAAAGAAAGGACTCGATGCAAATACTCTGAACTACTCCAAACTAATTTATTACTTTTATAAGCTAAAAGGCATTGCAGGGTCCGAGCCGTCCCAACCTTTTCTGTGCGTTTCCCAGCTCCTGTCCCAATGGCACGATGTTTTCTAACCAGCTTTTTTCCACATTTGCTCACTTTCAGCTGGAAAAGCACCCAAAAGGGTGTTATAAGGCGGTTTTCTGGATAGCACTGAAGCTGAGGGTTCCCCTCTGTAGACAGGGGGTTGGACTACATGATCTCAGTGGTCTTTTCCAACCTTTATGATTCTATGATTTGCATTCAGGATCGCCTCCGTCCCCATAAATCCCCCTGGTGCCTCCCTACTCTGGAGGAAAATGCTCCAAACCCCAGCATCCCGGTGGGCAACACGGCAGGGCCACACGCTTTGTTTTATTAACATGCAGAGGATGGAGAGGTTTAAATTTTTTTAATTATGTTTCCTTCTGAGAAAGACCCAAACCACTGAGCCCACCCTGTTGGTGTTCCCGAGTGGGATTGGGCTGGGGAGGAGAAGCTCACCCAGCCCCACCATGCTGGGGGCTCAGCAATGTAACACAAATAATGGCATTTTTAGGTTTACTTTTCAATCAGCTGTGATGTATCTTTGGGCATGCGCAGGTGCATTTTGTGAAAAACCACTATTTCCTTTTATTTTTTTTAAACAAAAACCCCACACCAACCCGCCCAGTTCTTCCATCAACCACCAAACCCCACAAACCCCGTTCCTGGCAGGATTCTGGCAGCTCATTTCAGACTGGATTTGCTGGGCTCGATCCCGACTGGATTCTCAGCACACGTGAGGCCTTTCCCACAGCATTCCCGCTCCTTTGACCTCACAATGCTCCGCTTTGGCCTCGCAAAGGGTTTTTTAACAGAAAAAGCGATGAAAGCAAACAGGGCCTTGCCTTGGGAAGGGCCGAGCACCGGCCTTGCTGTTAGCATTGCGGAGTTTTACGCGGCATTAAATTGTTCCTTGGGACTTGTTGTGGCCTGCGGCCTTCTGCAGAAGTGGCTGGGGCCGGGCGGGGGCTGGAGGAGGGCGAGGGGCTGCGATCCTCGCGCAGGGCCCTCATAGCGCCCAGGGTCCACACGGCGCCTGGCGCCCCGTGCCCGCTTCCCCCTCCCGCCGCCAGGTGGCGGCACAGCGCTCTCCCGCACGGCCGCTCTGCCCCACGCCGCCGCGCGGCGGTTGGCGCCGGTTAGCGGTCGGCTCTTTCCGGAACTATTCGGCCACGGGGGCGGGATCCCGATTGCAACCGACAGAGAGGGGGAAGGGGCGTGGCCAGCGAGCGTTCGGGGAGGTTCGTTCTTCTCCGACAGCTGTCGGGTCTTTCCGGGGCGGGTTCGGGCCGTTCCGGCGGCGTTCGGGCCTTTTCCCAGGCTGCCTCCGGGCCGGAAAGAAGGAACGGGCTGAAGGCGAGCGGCGGCGGATGGAGGCGGCGGGGAGGTGAGCGGGGCGAGGGCCGGGGCTCTGCGAGCGCGGGCAGCCCTGGGGCCGGCGGCGCGGGTGGGGGGCGGCAGCAGCAGCAGCAGCAGCAGCAGCAGCAGCAACAACAGCTGACGGGCCCCGGCCCCGATCTCGGCCCGGCTCTCCGCCGCGGCTCCGCGTCCCGGTCTCGCTGCCGTCCCCGCAGCCCCGCGCTGCCCCGTGCGGCCGGGCCGCTCCCGGAACTCCACGTGCCGGCCGGCCCTCGTCGTCCGCGGGGCGGCGTCCCGGGCTGCGGCGCGGAGAGAAACGGGGAGTGAAGCCGGGGGTCCGGGCTGTGCGAGCGCCGCGGAACGGCCGCCCGTCCTCCGCCTTTTATCTCCGGAGCGGGGGAACCGCCGCTGTGAGAGCAGAGAATGGAGACAGCTGAGCAAACACAGCCCCGAACGTCGCCTTCCCGGCCCGTCCCCCGCCCTGCCGGCTGCCCTCCGCTCCGCTCCCTGCCCCGTCCTTTACGCGGGGCATCCCGGGCTCTTGGGTTCCTTCCCTGATTTCCGAGCGTGTGACTCGCATCTGCCCCGCGCTTCGTGGCACAGCGCCGACTGCCGCGCTGCGGGTCTCCCGCTGCTGATGGCAGCCCCCAAACGCTCCTTTTTACCTCGTGGTTCCTCTGAGAACGTGGAAAAATCGCTTCTGCGTGCAGTTGGTTCTCACTGGACGAAAGTTCTGTGCTGGTTGGGAGAGAAACCGCAGCTCAGAGGAATGCAGCGGGGAACGGAGCCAGGCTGGAGCGGCGGAGCGCTGCTGTGTTTACAATAAAAAGCTGTATTTATAATATCGGGGGCTCTCTTAATTCCTCTGAGAGTATCTGCAGCCACAGCCTGGCGCTGAAGCGGCTGAGTAATGGAAGATGGAGAGCAAACGGAGGAAGGGACGGTGCGGCTCAGGCTGGAAGGTCGTGCAGCTCTTGCCGTATCCTTGTAGGGTTGCATGCATCTCACCTTGTAGGTTATTCGTGCCGTTGCTGTGCCGTGTTGAGCTTCTAACAAACTGTCATGGATTCCTGACGCTGCACAAAAGTGATTTTAAGCAGATGGGTCAGCAGAAGCGGGGTGTCGTTTCTGTGTGCTCTTTGCTTTTTTAGAACTGTGACTTTTTTTAAGGAATAACCACTGCTGGGTTTGCTGCTGGGGGAAAAAAAAACAACTCTGAGCTCTTCCCCGTGCTTCTAAAATGGAAATCGGGTGTTTGTGGGGATGTGGCAGGGGGCATGAAGCGAAGAGCCCCAGTGCGTGGAGTTGTGCTCCGTGAGTGGGACACTGCTGCTCTGTTGGCAGCTGCGACAGAAGCATTTCTTGGTGAGGAAAGAGGTGAAAATGGGCTTGGCTGCCCCGTGCCACGCTGTTTTTAGCAGATGGAAGGTTTGTTCTCATGGTTTGTAACCTGTTAACATGTGGGCTTTCGTGCAGTTCAGAACTTGATCTGGTTTTGGTTTTCTCGTCTTTTTTCTTCTCCTTTTTTTCCCCCTTACTGAGGATCTGATGGAGACATTGGAGCTGTGTAAGCTGTCATAAACACTTTTTTTAGAATATTTTTACGCATACTTCTGCCTCGCTGGAGGGAAAGCAATGCTCTGCCTCACTTCAAGCCAAGCTGCCCTTTGAACCGCATTTGGAACTTGGTTAAAAAGCTCAGGAACCGCATTTCATAAAAGCTAAGATGCTTTTATTTATGTGCTGGGCACGCAGAAAAAAGGCTCGTAATGTGTTTTTTGTTTCAGACTGGTGTGTTAAACAAAGAAAGTATTGACAGCGGCTAATGAATCGTGGGATTGTTTCTGGGCACTGAGATAGATTTACCAAGGTATTTAGATGTCTAATGCATGGGATTTTCAGAGGAGCTCGACAAGTGCTCGCCAGCACAGACACACGAGGCTCCTTCCCCGTGAGCGGAGCTGGAGACGGGCCCAGCAGAAATGTGCTGGCAAGCTGCTGGCTCTCCTGGCGCACGCAGAGCCCCGCTTTGGAGGCGCTGGCAGCAGGCAGGCTCGTGCGTGTCCCGCGCTCTCGGCACCGCCTGCCCCTTCCCGGCTTCTCCTTCCCTCCAAATATCTATTTAAGGGCTGTGGAAGGGCTGCGTTCCCTCCCTCTCTCCCCACACACGCACTGATCTCCTGCTCTGTACAGAGGTTCCCCAGGCGGTGGTCCTGCACGGCTCAGCCGCCCGCCGGTGGCTCCTGGAGGAGGGGCGGCGAGGCTCCCTGCCAGCATGGACTGAGTGCAGGGAAGGCAGGTGAGGCGCGAGGCCGGCCTGGCTCCGATGCCGTAATTATCTGCGTGCCAGGCGCCCCGCTGGGGCGTGGAGAGCAGGGCAGCGTGGAGGCAGGGCTCTGCTTTCCCACCGGGGTCTGTCAGCGCTGAGAGCTGCTGCAGCAGCTGAGCTCCTTGCCTTGTGCAAGAGCAGGCGCCGGGCTGCACGGAGCCAGAAGCTGTGGGACCTGCTCCTGGGAGACTCGGAGCTCCGGAGCCTCTTCCCACCCCACCGTGCAGCTCTGCTCTTAAAAGCTACTGAACGAGTTCGCCAGGGCTGAGCGTTTTTTGTCCTCCCAGCCTCAGTGGCTGGTTGGAAGCACCTGGCTTTTGGGCTGGGATCTGCGCCTGGGTGCCGGGCAGCCGCTGCGTTCAGGCTCTGTCCCCTGCGGGCTGGTGGCTCCTCTCCATCAGACCCAGCAGGCAGAGTTCAGAGGGGCGAGGGGCAGGCGTCCCAGCGTGGCCATAAATCTCTCTTAATGCTCTGGGTTATGAAGTAATATTTTCCTGGCTGGGACTGCTTGGATTCAGGAAATGTGCGTTCTGCTTTGAGCGTTCTGTGGCTACTGTGCTGGGCTGTGCTGCCTTGCCTGCAAGCACCCCGCATCCCGAGGGCCTCTTGGGGAGCTGCGCAGCCTCGTGTTGCACTTAAAGCTGTGGAGAAGCTCTCCAGTGACCTGGATCAGGCTCAGTCCTGTTCTGCACCAGCTGGAGCCTCCCTGCGAGCGTCCGGCCTCCCTGAGGGTTCTCTGCTCATTCATGGAGGAGGCAGCCCAGCTGGGATGTCTGCCCAGACTCAGGCAGCCAGCACAGGCTCTGGCTCCAGCACAGGTTTTGTGCTCTGCAGCTTCTTTGTGCCTTTCTTTGTCAAGGGAATGAGCGAGCTTTGCAGGGCGGTGCTGGGAGCAGCGGGGCTGCAGAGCTGGGGGTGCAGCCAGCTTCAGGGGGGCTCGTGCCATCTCTTCAACCCTCTGCTAGCACGCAGATGTGGTAGGAAAGGGGGCTTGTAGCTGCATGTAGCTGGCCCGGGAGGGTTGTTTCAAGTTGCTGCAGATCACGGATGTTAATGCCTCTTGCTGAGCCCAGCAGGAGGTCGGAGCCGCTTTGGCTTTGGTTGGCAGAGCGTTGGTCCTGCTGGGAAGGGTGCTGGGGTCACCCGGTGCAGGCAGAAGGCTGTGCTGCTGCCTCGGGGAGGCTCTCGGATGAGGTGTGGGTTTCTGGGCCAGAAGAGCCCAGGCTGCTGACAGGACCTGCAGCCATCCAGCAGGCCGACGGCATCGCTGGGACGCGTGTTCCCAGCTGCCCCCGCAGGCTGTGCCTCACAGGGCCGATGCTCAGCACCAGGGCTCTGCCTGAGGGAGGTGGAAATGGCAGGGAGGGATGGGAAAGGAGGCCGTGCAGGGAATGCCCGGCTCACGCAGCCCTTACCCAGCGTGTGACAGCCCAGGTTTGTTCTTTTGGGGTGGCTTTCTGGGCTGCGCAGGCGGCCCGTTCTTCGGTTTCTCCGTGCTCGAATAGCTTACAGGCGGTGAGCGGCTCTAAGCAGATTTGAAGGCTTCTGAAGATACTTTTATTTTTAACCTCTCTCGCTTCCATCTGTGAAGAAACTGTGCCTGCGTTGCCTACGCTTCGTGCTGCTGCTTTTAAATAAAAGTTCAAAAATTCACTTTGCTCAAAGCAAAGCTTTGAAGTGCTGCTCTGTGGGAATGGCGCAGCGCCTTGAAAGCCTTCAACTGAAAGCTGTGTTAACCATCATTTGTGGGCAGTTACCTTCAGAAAATGACTTTGTGGGGAATTGCATGGGGAGATGTGAAAGGTGAACTGTGACATTTAATCAATTTAGCAAGAAAAGGTTAAATCTGTTTGTTTTGCTCCTATTCAGGGCCTCCAGCTGGTGGTTGCAGGGTCACCCTTTTCTGTACGCAAAAGTTCCTGCATAAAGGCTGTTTTGTCCCACTTGTTGTCCTCTTGTTTGCATGAGTGCTATGAAGAGAGCGAGCTGAAGAAACAGAAGTGATCCTCTTTAAGATGCAGAGCCAGCGCCTGGCTGTGGCAGAGGGGAGGTGTTCGCTCTGCAGAGCATTCCTGCGAGCAGCCGCTGGCTCCCCTCGTGCTTTTCTGAGTGTAAATTGCTCTTAGCGTGTCCTGGCAGAGAGCGCTTGGATCCAGGGCTTGCAGCGAGCCTCGTTAGGAGGGAAGCGAGCCCTGCCTCGCTTGGATGATCCCTGCTTTGAATGCTGGCTCCTGGGAGGGCGCGGGGTGCCTGGCGGTGCGGTGACGAGCCTTCTTCTCTTTCACTGCAGGCTCTGGGTCTGGAGGAGCAGCATGCCACGCGGCTCCTGGCTGGAAACGCTCCGTGCTTTTGCCCTGCGGACTCCAGGAAACCTTCTTTTTTGGTGAACTGAACCCTGCCCTCCTTTTTTCTTTGCTGCATGCCCACTCACGAGTGCTGGATTATGTTTGTCTCCTTCTCCCTTTGCTCCATAATTTGGCTGAACCGCGGTTTCAAGCTGAGGAAAAGGGGCTGCACCTAAGCAAGCCGGGGCACTGGGACCGGGCTCCCGAGGTGCTGGTTTGTGCAGAGACGTTCAGACTGCTGATGGGGGAGAGCTGCCCCTGAGGTCTCTCCTCTCCCGCCCAAAGGACGCTGCCTCACTGTTCGGAGCCGTCTCCTCATGGCAGAGAGAATGGGCAGCACCGACGGCTTCCAGTACCGTGCGCTCTATCCGTACCGCAAGGAGCGTGAGGAGGACATTGACCTGGTGCCTGGGGACATCCTGGTGGTGAGCAAGGGAGCCCTGCAAGCCTTGGGCTTCAAAGATGGGGATGAGCAGAACCCCAACCAGATCGGGTGGATCCTGGGTGTCAATGAGAGGACCAAGCAGAAGGGCGACTTCCCCGGCACATACGTGGAGTACGTGGGGCCCGTGAAGATCTCCGTCCCTTCGCACCGACCCCGAGTGCAGAGACCCCTGCCTGCAACACCAGGAGCCAGTGGCTGCCGACTGCAGGAGGCTCTTGAGCAAGGTAAGCATCACTGCAGGCCCCCTCTGCTGCTCGGCAGATCCCTGCCAGGTGTTGAGTTGTGCAGGATTTGTGGGCTCACGCTCGGTTCTGTCCAAAAGCAAAGTGCTGTGTTCTTTGGGTGTGTTGGTCTGTGTTCATGTTCAAAGCTTTGCAGTGCTTTTTGGAACAAGCCTTGTTCCTCTCTAAGGTCTTGTTCCTCTAAGAGGTCTTTCCCTGGCCCATGACCGGCTGGATCCCCGTGGTCCCTCTCCCTGCTTTGCTGAGGGTTCTACCCAGCTCCCTCCTTCACAGAGCAAGTCCTGACCTCTCCTGTCTGCCTCCTGAGCACCTGGCACATCGCTCCTTGCCAAGAGCTGCTCAGCCCCGCTGAGATGCAGTTACTTGTCTCTGGGCAAGAGGAAAAAAATCTGGGTCTAAAAGAGAACTTCCAAGAACTGCAGCTAATTTTCATCTTCCTGGCACCCGTCTGTATCTGTGCGTGGCAGAGCCAGGACTGAGCAGGGCATGAGCACCTGGGGCAGGAACTGGGCTTGGCACGGCTTCAGCAGAGGAGCTAGCAGCCTCGGTGCTGCCCGCAGAGCTGGGAGCTACAGCTGTCCTGTCAGATGCTGTATGAAACCTCTCAGAGGCCCTAAGGAGCAGAAAGGAGCCCCTGTGTGACAGCGCGACGGCGGGGCTGGGTGTGCTGTTCCCAAACCCAGCGTCACGGCCCTGGGGATCCCACGGTCTCTGCAGGGTGCAGACGTGGCTGGGCCAGGCGCTGGGACTGGCAGCAGGAGCCACCAACTTACGTCACCCCCCTTCCAGGGATTGGCTCCTCGTGGGAGCCCGGGGCACGCTCTGCAGTGCATGTGTTGGCCTTGCCTGCACCCAGCCCTGCACGCCCTCGAGGGCTGTACTTGTGCCTTTGTGGGCTCTCTCATGCTCCTGGAGCTTGGCTTGGCAGAGCTGTGTGTGGGTGGTCAAAGCCTCTGCCCTGTGCAAGGTTGGGGGTGGAGAGCTGTGTGATGTGGAAAAGGATTTGTGCTGACGTTCCTGACCCATGGAAAAGAAACCAAAAGCCAGCCGGTTTGCTTCCTGCCCTAGGATGGGCAGCAGTGAAGGCAGGGAACGCAGTGCACCGGGTGCCAGCTGTGCCCTGTCCCTTATGGGGGGACCCCACAGCCACCCCAGCCCCGTGCACACAACCTGTGGGACAGCAGTTCAAATGCCTGAGGCCATTTTGCATGCAGCACGTTGTGTTGCTGGGGGAAGGCGCGTTTTTGCAACAGAGAAATTGTATTCGAGCCAAGGCTGTGTTATTTCTTTGTGGCCTGTGCTCGGATGAGGCCTGCTTGGGAGGTGCAGAGCTATCTCTTGGCTGCCCGCGCAGCTCAGTGCTGGCTGTATTTCTGCTTCCTGGGTCTGCCCTGACGTGGCGGTCCCTTGTCCCCCTGTCATGCAGAGCGTGCCCGTACCGCAGCCTGGGAGGAAGGGGCCCCTGCAGAGGCAGCCCTGCAGGGCAGCAAGCCCCGGTGCTTTCCGAGGCTGAATTTATGAGCTTCTGGTGTTTGCCTTCTGCAGAGAGCGTGAGCGGAAAATGCGGCTTGGAAATATTTCCGCAGCTGCCCGGCTGTGCTGTGAGTGCCCTTGTTCACTTCGGCCCAGCCCAGAGGCCTGGCAGGCTCGGGAGCTGCTGCTGGATGCAGCGTGGCTTCTGGATCCCAACGCAGGCTGCTGCCTGCTGAAACAGCACATTCCCAACTGGACCACGTGGGGAGCACAGCGTTTACCCTCCCTTCAGCCCTTCCCAAGGGTCAGGGCTGGAGCTGCCAGCCCTGTGCTCCTCGTCCAGCTGCGGTGAGGACCTGGCCTCACCCTGGGGAAAGCCGTGCTGAGCCCCATCTTGTGCCCAGCCAAGGGCATGGGCAGCTCTTGGAGCAGCCTTGTTCTGCCTTGGGATCGTCAGCAGCAGCCTGGGCCCTCCCTGAGCTGCTCCCTCCTCTGTGGCCGTTGTCTTGAAGCACAGCCCTGCGCTGTTTCGTCCCTCACTGTGGCAGTGGGGGCAGGAGGTTCACTGGGTGCTAACTAACTTGCAGCTTGTGGTGGGACCGCACTGGGTGCACGGGCAAGTTCAGGTCAGATCCGTGACAGCAGGACTGTGTTTTGCAATGCAGTGCTGCCTTTTGGTTCTGCTCCCGTGAAGCAGAGTGTGCTGGGTGTCCTCGTGGACCACTGATGTCCTTTTGCTGGGGACTGACTGGCCTGGAGGAGCCTCCTGCCTGGCTGGCACTCAGCAGGGAGCAGGGATGAGCCTGACTCTGCTCATCCTCCTGCTGGCAGCTGGGCGTGCACCCTCCTGCCCTGGTATGCGTCACACTCTGCATGGGGAAGCATGCCTGGGGCCCTGCTGTGCTGGCCCTGAAGCCATCTCACTGCAGCACATAGGCTGTGCTTTGGCAGCACCACTGCCCTGCCCCGTGATCACACTGCAGCTCCCAGCTCCATCTTCAGCTTCCCAAAAGGCACCTCGGGGCAGCTGCCCTGTATCGCAGCGCATCGCAGCCCTTCCCACGCTGCTGTGACCCTGTTACAGATCCAGAGATGGCACCAAAGTGCTGTTTGATGCTCGGCCGTGCCTGTGGTCAACGTGGGGAGGGTCTGGGAGCACGCAGGGCAGTGAGGGCTCCTGGGACACGTGGTGTGGAGCAGCCGGCTGTGCTGCCCTGACCGGTCGGTGCGGGCTGCGTGGAGCGCAGGGGCTGCCTGCAGCAATCCTGCCTCAGGGTGCCTGGTGCTGTGCCACAGGCTGTCCGCGCCCTGCAGCAGCTTGCACCGAGGTTATGGGCTAGCGGGGAGGGGGAGGCAGAGGGCTGGTTTCCATGTAAAACGAGCAATCAAGGGCAGGAATTTGCTGACGCCGCACTCTGCCTGAATCGCTGGATTAATCACAGCTCACCGCTGCGAGCTCCCCAGCCACGTTCCTCCACCAGCCTGTGCTGCGTCCGTCCTGGGCAGGGGCTGAACTGAGCCTGAATTCCAGAGCCCAGGTGACCCCTGCAGTGCCTGCCCACACGAGCTGGGCGTTCAGGGAGGTGAACTCTGCTCTGTAGTGTCATCAGAAAGCAGTACGGATCCCTCTGTGTGTGCAAACCCCACTGTGCTTTCTGGGACGCTGAGCGAGGCTGGGCTCCGCAGGTTGCGGGCTGCTTTAGGGACCAGGGCTCCCTGCAGTCTCTGCATGGCATTTGTGTGGCTGTGGCCTGGCAGCAGGGTTTGGGGACCAGGCTCTGTCTGCCTGCAGATACTGCTGTTAGGAGTGATGTTATTGTTTGTGCTCTGGCCTCAGCTCTGCTGAAAACTGTCTGCTGAGTGGGGTCTGACCTCTTCCCTTTCTCCCCAGGGTCTCCTCTCCCTGAACTTCAGGAGCAGTTCAGCCCTCCAGAGGTTGCACCTCCACTGCTGGTGAAGCTGGTGGAAGCCATTGAGAAGAAAGGTAACGGAGGGCATTGAGTACCAAGGGGCTGACACCCTCCAGAGCCCCAGTGAGAGTGGGACAAAGGCAGCTGTCTATAAAAGCTGTTAGTGTTGGACAGAACACAGATATGTGATACACAGCTGCCTGTGGGAGGGGAGCCTCCCAATCCTCTCTGGCTTCAGGTGCTGGTCCCCAGCCTTAACCCTGCTGCGTTGTCCAGCTCCAAACAGCACAGAGCTCGTGCTGCAGTGCTTGGAGTGCAGCAGGGTGCTGAAGTGCCCTGGATGCTGGGCAGGCTCTGCAGGGTGCACCCAAATCCCCGCTGTGGGGGCGCTGAACAGGGGCTTGGAGGGCGTCCCAAGGATCGAGGGGGGCTGTGGCAGCATCTGCAGGAGGGCTGCGTGAGCTGCCTGCCTCGAGTCGTGCTGCAGCCACCATCCTACCAGGCTGGCTCCAGAACGGTGCGTGTGCTGGGACTTGCACAGCTTGCAGCTAACAGCGGCGTCCTCACTCCTGCAGGGTTAGACAGCGAGATGTTGTACAGGACATCTGGCTCCGAACTGAGGCAAGCTCTAAGAACCGGTAAGAACCAGCTCTTCATGGTGAGGAGGCGAATCGGCTCAGATGGAGGAGATTAGTGGATGTGACAGCACCAGCAGTAATGCAATCCAGGCCGGGCTCGCCTGTCCCTGGCGGTTCCTGACTGCCGCACGCTGCCTGCGGGGCTGGGCTGCCCGTCCTGACGTGTCCCCCTGTCACATGCTGGGGTCGGGACGGGGAGGATTCCTGCTGCCCTTGGTGGGCAGGGGTCAGGGCAAAGGGATGCGGCACCAGCCGAGAGACCCGCGGGCCCCCAAATGAAGCCCCACGCTTCTCTCCTGCCGTCTCTTCGGGCTGCCCTGCTCTCAGGGTGCTCTGACGACAGCCTTGCGGAGGTTTCTCTGGCTCTGTCACACTTCTAATAAGCAGGAGAGGATCACAGAGCTCAGCTTGGTGGTGGAGCTGTGGCTCCGCTGTGCCTGCGGCTGATGGTCTGTGCCAGCAAGCCCCGGGAGCTGTCTGCCTCTCGGCTGAGCCTGGGCCTCTTCCAGCAGCCTGCTAGCTTGTCCCCTTTCGCAGATGTTCGTCGTGGGCCAGAGCTGGGCAGTGCTCTTGGCTCTGGCCATGCTGCTTTCTGAAGAGGCTCTCTGTGCTGTCCCAGCAGCCTGTGCCTGGTGTTTCTGGGGCAGCACGCTTCAAGGGAGACATTTTCCCTGTTGGGTTTGGTGTGTGAACAATTGGCTGATCCCCTCTTCATGCTTGTCTCTAACAATAGCGGGGAGTAAAACTCAGGCAAGTCATATGTGCCCTTGGCAGGGCTCAGCAAAAGGTGTGGGCACCCAAATCCACTAACACCCCCTCCCAGTGGAGCCTGTGCCAGCTTACTTCAGGGAGATGGGTGCTTCCAGGCAGGTTCAGTCTTCTGGTCTGCTTGACTTCCCACGAGCTGCCAGAGCTCTCAGAGTGCCCGCCTGCCATATCCCGTGATTGCTGGCAGCAGCCAGAGATTTTCTAGCTCTTTCTAGGTGCCCCCATCGCTCACTGCACTCCTGCTGCAGTGGGACACAACGCTGTGGGGTGGGTGCCAGATCTGCACCCCTCTCCCATGGCAAATTTCTGCCTTGGCAGATTGGAGCCTGGGTGACCTGGAGCCCTTTGACGTGCACTCCCTGGGCGAAGCGCTGCGAGGCTACCTGCAGGACCTGCCCTCCCCTGTGGTGCCAGTGTCTGTGCATGGAGACATCCTTCGCATCCTGCAGGGTAAGGGCTTCCCCGGCCACACTTGGGAATGGGTGCGTGGGTGAACGGATGCGTTTGGGGTAATAAAATAGGTCTTGTCCCTATGGGGTTTGTCACGTGGCCTCTGCTGCTGACAGTGCTCCCACGCTGTGACAGCCAGAGCATGGAAAGCAGTGCTGGCTGCCCAGCCGTTCCATCGTGTCTTGCTTCTCTCCCCAGAGATCCCTCAGCCAGAGAATTGCCGGAAACAGCTGCTGCTGGCCTTGGAGTCGCCTGCAATCCCACTCCAGAACACACTCACCCTACAGTTCCTGCTCCGGCATCTGGGGAAGGTATCGCAGCAGGCCGAGAGCAACAGCCTCCACCCTCAGGCCCTGGGAGAGATCTTTGGCCCCCTTCTCCTGCGGCTGCCCGGCGCCAGGTACGTGCAGCTCTCAGATCCCAGCCGTGTGCCCGGTGCTGGCCGCTGTGCCTGCCAGGACAAGGAGTCCAGGCTGTAACAGTACGTCTGCCCGCACCCCGGCCCTGCTGCACGTGGGGTTAAACTGCTGGCAGCATACAGAGGTGGGGCCCGAAGCCAGGGCAGAGCCCTTCTGCTATTCTGCACTGCAGCAGCTGGGCTGTGCCAGAATGAACAGCTGACCCTGCTGCCCCATTGCGCAGGGGGCACAGAGGAGTGCCAGGCTCTGCCTTCGATTGCTGATTCGTTCCTCTCTTCCTACAGCCCGGAGCTGAGTCCTGACTTCTCTGTGCTTTTTCTGGAGATGCTTCTGCAGACGAAGGAGTTGGAGCCAGAACAGTTGCCTCCAGGTACCGTCCCAGTAGCTGACATGCCCCCTCTCTGGGACCCGAGGCATTAGCATTTGTGCTGTGTGGGTGTGGAATCCCTGCCTCCCTGAGCAGATTGCTGAGGGCATTTCTGTAGCCCAGCTGTGCTTGGATGCCTGCTCCAGGCTCTAATCTCTTGCTCCTGGCGGTGTGGTGGCCCAGCAGGGCTTCCCAGGACAGTTACCTCAGGGAGGGGGACTCTGAGCTCCAAGGGATTGCCTCTGGCGAGGGTGTGGAGCCAGTCCCGCTTTAACCCTGCTTCAACTCTACTTCTCTTACAGCATTGCCTCCAAAACCACCCAAGCCAAAGCCCAGTGCAGCCAGCCTGGCCAATGGGAACAGTGTGCCCTTGCAGGACGCCGAGTGGTACTGGGGGGACATTTCCCGGTAAGGGGGTGGCTGGCAGCTCCTGCTGTGGATGCCCAGGCTGTCAGGTTATCTAGGGGGGCTCTGGTTGCGCCTCACAGGCTGTGACAATTCTCTGTCCCTCTCAGGGAGGAAGTGAATGAGAAGCTTCGGGACACACCAGATGGTACCTTCCTGGTGCGCGATGCCTCCAGCAAGATCCAGGGGGAGTACACACTCACACTCAGGTAGGGTGCTGGAGCCCTCGGAGAGCTCTGCTGCCAGGGGTGGAGCTGTCAGCAAGTGTCCCTATGGCTGGTGGAACACCAGGCAGGCACAAGGGGCACATCCGTGTTGGAGCAGAGCACTGGAGTGGTGATAGGCACCCTCTGCTCCCCTCCCTGCTGCAGGAAAGGAGGCAATAACAAGCTGATCAAGATCTTTCACCGGGAAGGGAAGTATGGCTTCTCAGAACCCCTGACTTTTGGCTCAGTGGTGGAGCTCATCACACATTACAGACATGAGTCGCTTGCCCAGTACAACGCCAAGCTGGACACCAGGCTGCTCTACCCCATCTCCAAGTACCAGCAGGTGAGGCCTGAGCTGCAGGAGTAATGGCTGGCCAGCACAGCCAGAGCCAGAGCATCTGTTTGCTCATCCGTCCCTGGCCCTTCAGTAGATGGGCTCCGTGATCCAGACCGTGTCCTGCAGCATCTCTTTGCTGTGCTGGACATTGCTTTGTGGGGTAATGGGCACCCTGCAGGGGGGGTGGGGTTTCATGGGGCCGACTGCCTTACAGAGGGGCTGCTGTAGGGTGGGAGCGGGTCCTGACTTGAGGCTTTGTGTACGGCAGGACCAAGTGGTAAAGGAGGACAGTGTGGAAGCTGTAGGGGAACAGCTGAAGGTCTATCACCAGCAGTACCAGGACAAGAGCTGGGAGTATGATCTGCTGTATGAGGAGTACACCCGCACTTCCCAGGTACGTGGCCCCGTGGGCTGCCCCAACGTCACCGATCACTGGCAGCCACACACTGCACAAAGGAGAGCAGAAGCTGGGCCCCCACTGCCCCGTTTGTCCACTCTGGGTTTGGGGAGACTCCCCAGAGAACTTCAAAGTGGGAATGTATTGCCAGGGACGGTGCTGGTTTGGGAAGGGAGGAGGAGGATGCTCCAGATGGGCAGAAACCTGCCCACATCCTCCCCTTCACTCAGCTCTCCCTTCTCCTCAACTCAGGAGCTGCAGATGAAGAGGACAGCAATTGAAGCCTTTAACGAAACGATCAAGATCTTTGAGGAGCAGTGTCAGACACAGGAGAAGTGCAGCAAGGAGTACATCGAGCGCTTCCGACGAGAGGGCAACGAGAAGGAGGTGCAGCGGTAAGGACTGAGGGCAGCAGCGACCTGTCCTGCTTGGGGAAGGGCTCTTGGGGCCAGAGGGAACATCCGGGCTCAGGGCAGAGCCGAGGCACGCACAGCCCTTTTCTCCAGCATGCTGCAGGCTGAAGCTGGCAGGCTGCCTCCCTCGCCTCCCCCACGTTGGCTCACAGCCCACCCTTCCTTTCTCCCAGGATCCTCATGAACTCAGAGAAGCTCAAGTCTCGCATCACGGAGATCCACGACAGCAAGATGAAGCTGGAGCAGGACCTGAAGAAACAGGCCTCGGAAAACCGGGAGATCGACAAGCGCATGAACAGCCTCAAGCCAGACCTCATGCAGCTGCGCAAACTGCGGGACCAGTACTTGGTGTATGTAGTGCCTGACCCGCAGGGGGCTGGGAGGGAGGCCCCGCTCCCCTGCAGCCCGTCCAGCTGGTTCCTTGAGGGCTTTGGGGTTTGTCAGACCGGCTCTTAGGGCTGCTGTGTGCAGGAGCGAGGAGCCCTGCAGCCTCGGGGCATGGCAGCTCCTCAAAGGGGGAGGCTGCTGCCCTCTGGCGATGGCTGCTGGGTGAGGGCTGTCTGGCCTGGGCACGCTGCCTGCTGAGCTCTGCTGCTTCTTCCCTAGGTGGCTGACGCAGAAGGGCGCCCGGCAGAAGAAAATCAACGAGTGGCTGGGTATCAAGAACGAGACGGAGGAGTGAGTGTCCCTGCTCGTGTGTTGGGGGCTGTAGGAGCGCGGCTGGTGCAGCCAGTTCTGCCTGTTTGGGGGCCTTGGGCAAGTCCCATCTCCCTGTCTGGGAGCTGAGGCCGCCTTCCGTGCCAGGAGTGATGGCAGCTGGCTGGGGGAGGGAAGACGTGGGGGCCACACGTCCAAACTGAAGGGTCCTGACCCCGACTGTGCTCAATTGCAGTCAGTACTCCATGATGGATGACGAGGAGGAGCTGCCCCACCACGAGGAGCGGACGTGGTACGTGGGGAAGATCAACCGCTTGCAGGCAGAGGAGATGCTGTGCGGCAAACGGGACGGCACCTTCCTGATCCGTGAGAGCAGCCAGAAGGGGTGCTACGCCTGCTCCGTGGTGTGAGTACCCCGCAGTGCTGCGTGTGAGGCTGCAGCCGCGTGGGGAGCACGGGATGGGGAGGTGTTGGCTGTGCTCCCGTGCTGCTCTGCCCTTCTCTTGCCAGATGCTGGCGCTGGTGGAGGCATCAGCTGGCAGGCTGGGCTTCTCCAGAGTCTCCTGCCTGCCTTGGCTCCTCATGCCAGGGCCAGATGTGTCTTTGGGCAGCTCCGGTGGTGCCAGCTTGCGCTCTGCTCTTGCTGTCCTAGCAGGGCTCCTTCGCATGCCGCTAACCCGCGTTCCTTCTCTCCCTGGCAGGGTGGATGGTGACACCAAGCACTGCGTGATCTACAAGACAGCGACTGGCTATGGGTTTGCAGAGCCCTACAACCTGTACGCCTCCCTCAAGGACCTGGTCTTGCACTACAAGCACACGTCCCTGGTGCAGCACAATGACTCCCTGAATGTCACGCTGGCTCACCCGGTCCTTTCCCAGCCACCAGCCAGATGAACAGACCGTGCACAACACAACAGCTGCCTTCAGCTTCTCCCCAGAGCGCTGCTTTCTGGCTCTGGACTCTTGCACCCTGTATAGTTGAGTCTCTGTGCTCCTGCCCCTCCAGAGCATCTGAGATGTCTGTGACCGTTCCTGGTGTCCCTTTTGGTCAGTAGCTGAAACCCGTGTTGGCTGATGGGACAAAAAGGCTGGAATGTCGACTCGCAGCGGCCTCCAGCCCTTACGAGGTGGGATCTAGTTGTGATTGAATTGCTGTGGATGAACGCAGCCCCCTCCCCTTCCCCAACAAACAGGTCAGATCACCTTTTTGCTGGCAGGTTGCCCCGCTATGCATCACCGTAGAGCTAGATCCCAATTCCTCTGCACTGTGGTGTCATTCCCTGCCCAGCTGAGCAGCACTGGCACATTCTGAGCGAGGGGATCTGCTGGATCCTGGAGGAGGAGGAGGAGCCTCCGCTGAGCATGCGTCCTCCACTCCCACTTCCCCCTTCCCTCGGTGACTTTGCAGGTGGGGGTGGGAGCTGCTGTGTGGTACGAGGGGTGCTGCTCTTCTGTGCAGAGACTCATTTCAAAAAGAAGGCGGTGTCCTCCGTGGGGCAGCAGGTGTGCTGGGAGGAGGGCTTCTTGGCGAGGTCCCCACGCCATCCTGTGCCCCATCTCGCTGTCTTGTTCCCTGGTGTCATAGCCACCTCTGTAGTGTTGCTGTCTGGGGAGGGAGGATGTGGTTTGTGACGAATCTCTCACCTTAGTTGTGCCAACTAAGCTGTGAAGTCCGTGTTGGTACCCGTGTTTTTCCCGGCAGAATCCGTGGGATGCACAGCTCTTTGTTTCTGGCTGTCTTTGGTGAATCTCTGCGAGTGTAACCCGTTGAAGCTGACTGTAGCTCTGTAAATACGGTTCTTTTTGTCATTGGCTGCTTACCTCATCCTGCTGAGCTCCCACTACGACATGCGAGCGCGTGGCAGCGGCTGGGGGCTGCTGCAGCTCGGGGCAGGAGGGCTGGGAGGCTGACGCACACTACGAGCCCTGCACAAAATGAAGGACCTCTGCTGCAGGAGGGCGGCGTTTCAGCTGGGCCTGGGGCCTTGGCAAGTAGGGATGTTTGTGCACCACAGCCAGCTGTGTGTGCAGAGCACTTCTGTTCGTGAGTACTGTGTGGGGATGGTTGTGGGGCTGCCCGTTGCGGCTGGCTGGCACAGGCAGTGCTTGGGGCATCTCTTTGGAAAAGGCTGAGTTCAGAGGGCCCCAGGGCAGCAGAGGAGGTGCGGGGTGGAACCTGCAGGGTCTTTAACAGGGCTCTGAGTTGGTGGCTTTTGCTTTACTGTATCACCCTGTCTGCCCGGCTTGAAGAAAGCATTAATCGTGCTCTTGATCTGCCTGAGAGGCTCCTTCCCTTGCAGAGGCCGCGTCCTCAGGACAGGCTGGTGGATGCTGGAGGCTTTGCTGCTTCTGCTTGGTGTCACGATGGGCTGCGGGTCCTCAGTGCTGCAGTGCATTTGTGTGTGCTCTGCCTGCATCCCATCCTCCTGTCTGTGCACTGCCTGCAGTGGGGCATGCAGCATTCCCATGATCAGCTCTGCTGCTCGCATTGATCCAGGCTGCTCCTGGATCCTTCTTGGATCTGGGATTGCTGGTAGAAATGTTACGTTCCTGTTGCTTGTGGCAGCTCTCCTACCCCAGCTGTACAGACCCCATTCCTTGCTCTGTGTGCCCTGCATGGGCCCTGGGCTGTGTGCTGGGGCTCCCCTGCTCTGTCACTGTTTGGTGCTATCGCTCGGGGGGGTCACACGGCGATCAGTGATAATTAACAATTAAGGGAACGGTTTGGGCTGGGACACGAGAGCTCAGCTGAGCAGTAGGGCTGGCAGCCCCAGTGCTCAGAGCCCTCCTGTGTAATAATTATTGGAGGTGATTTATTGAGTCACTCGCGCTCCATCGACAAGGAAAAAAACAATATAAAAATGTCCTAAGAGAGGAGGAATTTTAGGGAGAATTACCATTGCAGGCCCAACCCGAAGCAGGAGGACGACACTGCTGTCTTTTGGGCCCAGGCGGTGGCTGAGTCTCTCCCCCCATAGGGAGGGATGCACACACTCGGTTGTACCGAGGGCTTCCATGGGAAACGTTCTTCCAGGAGTGAACTGTCTGCAGCCAGCTCAGTTCAGCTCAGTTACTCCTATTCTTGCTTCTGCTCTGCAGCGTGTTTATCAGCGGCCATCCAAACGGATCCGCAGTCTGCAGCCTCAGCAAACAGCACAGAGTGCAGATCAGTTTGGTGATGGCCTCCCTGAGCACAGCCAGCCTCCCTCTGGGGGCTCTCAGTTCGGCCGGAAGGCTGTGGCTGCATCGCTGTGAGAGTTGGAATTGGGCATCGCTCAGAATCAAACCCAGCTGCCCCCCGGCCCCTCTGATAGCAAACCAAGCTGGAACAGCAGGAGGTTCATTTTCTGCTAAACTTCTTCACCCTTGACAAGAGACACCGAGCCCTCATGGGGCTGTGACACCCCAGAGCTTTGTGCCGGGCGCCCGTGCTGTGGGCTGGCAGCAGGGGCGGCTCCTCCAGCCCCTCCTTGTCCCCCCAGCGCCGCCTGCTCTTCTTCAGCCGCTCCCAGCGCTTTGCTTGGCCCGTGCTTTGCTGCCCAGGGAATTCCAGCTTCCCGTGACGGCGTTTTTTACCCTCCCAGCCGTTTTTCTGCTTCTCCTCACGCCGTCCCTCCCTGCTGTGCAGCCGCAGCCTCTGTGAGCTCAGCAGCAGTCGCGTTGGCCCCGCTGCGTCGTCCAGCCCTGGCACGCAGCACCGTGGCTGGGGACGCGGCCCCTTGGGGCTCTGCTTGCAGCACTGTGTGGTGAGGAGGTCCGGGCCTTTCCCAGGGCTGCCGTTCCTCCAGCCGTGCTCTCAGAAACGCTCCTTTTCCCTTCTTTCCCCTTCAGGTGGAAAACCAAACCCTGAGCTTCCCGCAGCGCAGCTCCCCCGGAATAAGCTAGTTGTGATTTGTCTATGATGCTTTTTGCTCGTGCTGTCTGGGTAGTGCCGTGCTTGGTGGCCCTGGGCTGTGCTTTGCTGCTTCTGACCCGCATGTCCCCCCCTCCCCCCGCCCCACGTGCCCCCGTCCCACGGGCACAACGCGGCCGTTCCGCTCCCGGGCGCAGCGCAGCCCTGCTCGGGTTGAGCCCAGGGCTCTGCCCGGCTCTGCTCGCTTCGGGTCGGCTCGCGTTGCTCTGTTCCCAGCTCTGAGCCCCCCGGTGTCACCCCCGATGGCGCTCGCATCGCAGGGGGGTGGTGGGGGTGGCAGAGGCGCCCCGACTGCTTTGTGCTCGGAGAGGACGTGGCGGCTGTCAGCGCTACCGAGATGTTAGTCCTTAGCTATAGGCAATAATCCGTACTCTAACTCGCCACTTCAGCTGTTTGTTACCAGCAGTAGTTCTCTATGCTCTTTCTGTTGATGTTTACTAATGTAAACCCAGTATTTGTTACTGTAAGAGAATTTTTTGTACGGTACTTAAAAAAAAAAAAAAAAAAAAAAAAAAAAAAAAACGGAAAAAAAACCCCCACAAATAAAACAGAGTTAATGAGATCACAGGGCTTTCTTTGGGGTGGCAGCGAGTCCCCAGGGGAACTGAGATGGGAGGAGACTGAAGTGGAGCTGAGCCCAAAGGGGCGAGAAGCAGCCGGAACCGCCTGGCTGCAACCCGCGGGGAAGCACCAACTTCCACCCCGATCCCCGAAGGGCTGGGGGCCGGGCAGGCAGCGGGGCTGGGCGCTCAGAGCGGGGCTGGGCTGCTCCCGGCTGCCGGCAGGTTTCGGTGCTGCTCAGGGCCGCGTTTCTGCCCGTCACCTTTTGCAGCCGGTCCGTGCGGGAGGAAGCGGCGACAGCCGTGGGGCTGGGGGGTGGCTTTGCCCCAAAACCCAAACGGCAGAGCCGTGCCCCGGAGCCTCCGCCGCCCCATGGCGCGTGCTGTGGGGCATCCACAGCCCCACGTGAGTCGGCGGCGTCGGTGTCACATGAGGAGGCCGGTTGCGCCATGCAGGAAGGGAGTGCGGAGGCGGGTGCAGGCGGGCTTTAAAAGCCCCAGCCGGGACAGGCTCGCCTCTGCGCTGGCTCTCAGCCACCCTGCCGTCCCCATGGCCTCTGCTGTGCCGCTGGCCCTGCTGGCCGTGGGGCTGGGGCTGGGGTTGGCCCTGCCCGGCTGTGATTACCCGACCCACCTCTGGTGCAGCTCACGGGAGATCGCCGTCGCTTGCCAGGTCAGAGCCGCGGGGCCGGTGTTGGTGCCATCTGGGGACGCAGCTGCTGCTGTGCGAGGCTGGGGCGTGCGGGGCTGCAGCTGCACACGGTGCTCACACCTGGTGCTGGTACCCGGTTCGTGCGCTGGCTCTGAGCAGGGATGCTTGGGGTCCCGCATCCAGCAGCACTCCCTGCCACGCACGGGGAAGAGCTGTGCTGCAGTCAGACCCTGTCCCATCCCCGGGCTCCGTTGTCACTTCTTTTTCAGCACGAAACAGCTTTGCAGCCCGTTCTGTCATGAATCGATGCTGGCACCGCTAACGGCGGGTCCGGCAGCACTGGATGGGCTGCAGCCCACATGGCGGTGGGTGCTGAGCCCCTGCTCAAGCGGGTCCAGACCCCACTGGCTGTGGTTTTCCCCAGAATACATGGCGGAAGTTCCTGAGGAAAGCCCCAGCACCACACGCACAATCCTGCAGCTGCATCAAACCTCTGCGGTTCTCACTTCCCTCCCCGCGCACGCAAGGCTCCGTCCTGCCCCATCCCAGCAACTTTCCCCCACGCTGTGCAACCGCAGGTGGCTGCAGCCGTACCGTGGCACAGCCCCCAAACCCCAAACCCTTTCACTCACAGGCAGAGAGCCGCTGTGCCAACCTCTCGCGCCCGACAGCTGCTCCCGTGCAGCTGAGTCTGTACTATGAGAGCCTGTGCCCGGCGTGCCGGGTCTTCCTGGTGCAGCAGCTCTTCACCACCTGGCTGCTGCTGCCCACCGATGTCCTGAACATCACTCTGGTGCCGTATGGCAACGCTCAGGTAGGAGCAGCTGCAGCCCTCTGCTGAGTGCGCACCGCCAGCCGCGCTCACACCGCTTCATCCTGCAGGAGAAGAACGTCTCTGGGAAGTGGCAGTTCCACTGTCAGCACGGCTTGGAGGAGTGTTTGGGCAACATGCTGCAAGTGAGCCAGGCTGTCCCTGTGCCCGTCCTCATGGGACGGTTTGAGGGATGCTCACCACATCCCCGCATCCCCGCAGGCCTGCCTGATGCACGAGGCCGAGAACTTCACCACCTATTTTCCTGTCATCTTCTGCATGGAGTCGGGCTCCTCGGCCACCAAGAACCTGAAGGCTGTATGACACTGTCTCCCCCTCCCTGCCCCAGGGCTGCCCTCCGTGATCTTTAAGGTCCCTCCCAGCCTAAAGGCACTCTATGATGCTGTGATCCCAGTGCCTGCAGGTTTACGCCCCGCAGCTGGATGCAGGCCGCATCACTGCCTGTGTGCAGGGGGAGCTGGGGGCCGCCCTGATGCACCGCAACGCCCAGCTGACGGACGCTCTCGACCCGCCGCACCAATACGTCCCCTGGGTCGTCATCAACGGGGTAGGGGGGGCTCAGGGCTCGGAGGGGGGGCCGTGGGGATCCTCCCTGTGACGAGCAGCCCCACCTCTCCCCGCAGAAGCACACGGATGAGCTGCAGGCGGAGGCCCAGAGCTCACTGCTGAGGCTGGTGTGCCAGCTGTACCAGGTGGGACGGGGACGGGGACGAGACGGGGGGCCGGCGCAGCCAGGGGGCTCTGGGACGTGCTGTGCTCCCCCCGCCCGGCACTACCGTCAGCTGTGTGGCAGGGGGACAAACCTGAGGCCTGCAAGGACACCGAGAGCCCGAAGGCCGGGGCTGTCTGCAG